GCTGGTTGGTGCTGTGTTGCTGCCTTGTTTGCAAAGGGCAAGTTGATAGCGCGGCACCCATGCCAGGGGTTTCGCCTCGTGGCTGTGAGGACCTTCTGACCTTGGAGGCAGAGGCCCAGCGATACCTGAGCGACCTCCAGGCCGGGAAGCAAGTAGATGGCTCAACTTAGGCCGTGCGTGAGTGCAGCACAAACAACATGGTTTGGCAGCTTGTTGGTTGTTGCAGTGTTTTCCAGCCTTGCTATGCGGGGGCAGCCCCTTTTGGACGGTGTTCACAAGGAAGCCAACCCTTCAACAGGAAATACCAAATTGCCACCTCGAGGCTAGAGAGAGAGAGAGAGAGAGCGAGAGAAGTTGTCACATGTGTATGAGCCCTGGACGTCAAGGGCCAGGTGGCCTTCTATAAGCCTTTTGTAGCCGGCCAGAGGCCATGCGCATTGAGCTGTCCCGGGACACAGGGGCGCGGCGGCTGCAGGCCGGATTCAAACCTAGACGGATCAAAGGCTGGGGGATGGATCCCCCGCAAGAATGCGCACCCACCGCACCTTTTCGCTGAGGAAGAGAGGTGTGTTTGTCCTGGGTTCTCATGAGTTTGCGGCTTTGCGGCTTAACCACGTGAGTAATTAGAAAGTTGCAACTGCGCTGGGGAAGGGGAGCATGAAGCACTCCCTCTGTGCAACGAAGCTCGCAGGTGGAGAGCGAGCTGGCGCACATGCGCAGCGCCACGGGGCCATCCTTGCCGGAGGCCCTCCGATTGCCCTCCGCCTCTTGCCTACTTTTGCCGGGGAAGCCTTGTTGCCAACTGCGGTGTTTGCCACATGGGTAGACTTCCCAGCATTTGTGTGTGCATGTGACAGGTCAACTTGCATGTTTTGCAAGCGATACTGTAGAGTTCTGTTTGTGAGGAGGCCTTGCTGCAATGATAGCATGCTTGTTGTTGCTGCACGTTTTTGGTCAGCTTCAGGCAGTCGACCATATCAGTTTGATGGGGCTGGACCCCGCACCGGAACCTCCAAAACGCCAACGCTCAAGCCAACATGCTTTGTGGCCCAAGTTGCTTTCAGAGAAGCTGCAGCCTTCCACTGGAACAGAAAAATGGGACCCGAGACAGGGGAACTTGTCCGGAAAAGTGTGGTTTGGGGGTTCCAGTTATTTGTTTGCTGAACCTGTGGGTTGTGATCACGCCTCACATGATCACTGGTTATCTCTCTTGCATCGGTACCGGGAGAGAGCAAAAGTTGGTTGTACAACAGTTGCTTTGTAGTCATTTGTTTGTTTGGGTTTGGTTTGTTTGTTTGCTTTCCTTTTGAGGGGCAGGGAGTTAAGGAGGGACTGCATGAGCGGTCAGTGTTTTGTCCAGAGAGTTCCCGCGCGCAAGCTGGGTCGATTGCGCAGGTGAACAAGCCAGCACACCAGGCGCCGAGTGGAGCGAGCCATGGGACTGAGAGGGGGTGGGCCGCCTGTTTGTGAGGTCCAAAGTTTGCCACTTTTTTCCACCTGGAGCTTGGAATGTTGGCAGATGGTGATGCCTGGCAGTTTCTTGAGCAGCTGCAACCCACCTCAAAACAAAAGGGGTTCTAAAGGAGAATGAATCCATGGAGCAAGGTGGGAAACAAGTCTTTTTCTGCCTGGCAACACGCATGACAGGTTATTAAGCTGCTCACCGAGGAGGAGGCGCCCTGCAGAACGGTGATTTGCGGTTTTCCTTCTGGTGGCTTTGTTTCCGGACTGGATCGGCTGCCAGCCTGCATCGCTTGTTCAGCAGACAACGCCCGGAGTGATAGGAAGGCCACGCAAGTGTCTCTCTAGCATGTCCAGGCCAAGTCCCTCAAGGAGCGTTCTGTTGCCGTCATCGCCCGCTCGCCGGGCACCTAGCTGCGCCTGCTTGCTCTAGTGTCATTTGCCGCTTTGACATGGTTGGGCTTGAGAGATCGCCAAACATCAATGCTTTTCCAGCCCCCCCCCCTAAAATTTCCCCTACCCCCTGAGGGTGTGCGAATTATGAGTAATCCTGGTTGGTGAGCCATAGCAACTTGGCCATGTTGGCTCGGCTGCTTCAGATCAGGAATCAGCTGCCTGGCCGAGCAGAGCGGCTGACCTTGCGCATCCGTCAGGAGGGTGAGGGATAGATACTGACCTTTGTAGCAGAAGCGGGTGGCGACCTGGTGTTTGCCCTTGTTTGCGCACAGAGGCGGGGGACCCTGCATGGGTCACTTGGTTCTTGCGCACCATGCCCAAACGGCTAAAACCACGCGTGTTTCAACGAACTCCGTTTGGTTTCCCTTTAACAATGGCCAGCCAGGAGGGGGAGCAGGCAACCAAGCGCAGCGGCAAGCAACTGGCCGCCAAGACCCGGGAGCTGTCGGAGCCAGGCCCCAGGTCCCTTTCCGTCGCATGCGACGGTGCGTTGGTGGGCAAGTTGCCCAACCTCAAAGGGGGAGTCCAACGCGGAAGCACAAAAGTGTTGCATGTCAGAGGCCTAGGTGTTCGTTGGCAGGAGATTTGCGATCACTTCAGGCTGTCTTGTTTGGTCAGCACAAGCTCCGAGAGAATCGGATTGCTTCTTTGGGTCACTTCTCCTCAGCTCTTTTCATCACCCTCCAGTGACTTCTGGAAGTCGCACAAACGAATGACCTTTGACCTTGAGCCGGATCCTGTAAGGATATCCGGCGCTGCTTGTATGGATGCCAAGGTTCAAGAAGCACCTGGAGGAGCCTCATGGTGCGTGTTGAGTTCAGTGAATGGGACAACAGGATTCCGCACGCATATCTGCAGAGCCTGAGATTTTGAGGCCTGACTCACTGCCCACGGCTTTTCCAAAGGCTTCGCGTTCCCAGAAGCATTGGGCCACATTTCGCAGCAGAAAATGATGTGAGTGTGGACTCAATGGTCCCTGTGTTGAGGAATTATGAAGGATGGCCATCCACCGGATACCAGCTGTGCTGGCTGTGGGGTTCAGAGTGGCAACATGCCAGGTGGGGGGTTCACTAGAGAACAACACGCGATTGTTCACTGTCAGATCAGTGAGGTGTTTTATTTTTGGGTTTCGTTTTGCTTGCAGTGGAGTTGCCAAAGTGCACTTCGTGCACTATTTGTACTAGCAAGTTGCACCTGTATTGAAAGGCCACAACGCCCGATCGGAGCTTTCGAGGTTTGTTTCTTGGATCATGAAGGTCATCAATGTATTTCAATTTCCTTACTCCTTAGCGGGCTTTTGTAAACTAGCTCCGCTCAAGTTCCGCGATGGAGCTCGCGAGAGATAATATTTTTCCGTGAAGATGGGCATTGCAGAGGGCAAGGAATTTTGAATTTGAGCACCTGACATGTGCAGTTGCTCAAAGGCTGCAGGGTTCTGAGCACCGGAAGCTCTGGTTTGCTGACCTTTTGCTTTTCCATGGCTTTCAAATTCGAGGAATGACACACAACAGGGCCAATCAGATATATTGATCTTTGTTGAGTGGCCGAATCAAGCAAGAAGCTCAGATGAACAGAGCAGTATCGCGCCAATTGCTTGCCATTTTGACCATGTGCATCAATCTTTTCTAGTCTTTCCTGAAAATTCCGATGCTTGCTTGGGCCCCCGGTGAATTATCTTCCAGTCGGTGATGGTTAACCGTTGACATGGGCGCGTGACAATTAGGTTTGTTGGGCCCGACTCGCGCACAACAGCCACTGAGCTTGTCATCGACTTTGGGTTGTTCAGTTATTCGTGTGCCACCCGCTGACTGCTCAGCTGCGACAGGAAAACATCCGGGGTGTTGAGCACACACACAGTCAGGCGCGTCCGGGCGTGGGCTGAGGATGGCGAGCAGTGGGGTGGCAAACGGCGGCTTTACTTTTGCAAGACGGCTAGCTGCATCACTCGACTTGAGATCACAAGCTGAGGCCAAGCCTCGTAGGCTTCAGTGCCGGGTAAACCACAGTAGAGGATCAATGAGGATCGGCCAGTCAGTCTTTTAGCCTTGGCCCCCAGTGGTCGAGTGGCAATGAGCTGTAGGGTTTGGGGCATTCAAATCCCAAGTGCATGCAAATCATGCGGTGCTGATCTCTGACTGAAAAACAGCGTGCCATGAAGTATGACTCAGCAAGGCCGCAGATCATGAATGAACTCATGAGGTTGTGCAAGGAACTTGTGTAATCAGTTTAGTATTTGGGGGCCCTTGTGTCCAAATTTCCTCCGTTTCCTCACAAAAAGTGGTAAACAAGCGATAGCAATCATGGAATCAGCATGTCAGCTTGGAAAACACAGCTTGTTAAGAAGCAAAAAGGCTAGATTTGAGAGTTGTTTCAACCGAGCACAAACCGATGATAGAACACATGTGCACGGATGAATTTGCCTCTTGCACACCATCCCACGTGGATCTGCCTGTTACAATTGTGATTTCCGAGCTGGATCTGCCAAAGTGTAGTTTGTATACTGCAGCGATTTTCAAGCTGGAGCTATTAACCTGCATTTCAGTACTTCCACACTTGTGCTGAACACTTGCTTTCCGAGCTGGAGCTGCCAAAGTGAACTTGGCATACTATACTTGTACTGAAAAGTTGCGACTGCCAAGCTGGAGCTACCAAGGGTGGACATCGCGTGCTGCAATTGCTTCAGCCCGATTCTTTGGGAACGGACGTATGGAATGTAAGTATGGGGGGCACAAAGCACATCAAAGTGATAAACAGCAAAAGAAGAAGCACTTTTCCATCCCAAACGGGGCATCACAAGAGACATATCATCCGAAGGCCTGCCGAGTACACAGATGCGCCCAGGGTCTTTTCTTCATGCGATGGAGGGGGGGGGTAGGAGGGGGGGGGGGCATATGCTTATGGTATAAGGCTAGGATAGCGTTGGGTTCATTCTCGCTGTTTTTGCTGGGCGTGTTTTTGAGCACATTTTTCCTTACAGCCTTTTGGCTCGTGACTCATGATGGAAAACCGGGTGCGGCAGGAGTGAACCTTGATTGCACTAGTTAGTGTGCGTTCAACTTGTTTGACACCGTTCAAATCTCTAGGTCATTTGGATATATGTGGCAACGCGGTGCCAATCTATGATGTGACCGCATCCCGGCCACATTAGCAGTTGATTTTGATTGGCTGTCACCCTGAACGGTGTAGTGCAGCACTCAGGATGTTCAAAAACAATGGAGCGCGCTCATGCTTTTCCCGTTGCTCTTCAAAGAGGGCAACATGTTGAGAGCCGATTACAAGAAACGCTTCTTGAAGATGAGACATTCCCTGGCTAGCATTCACGAGCTGGTCTTTCCTACCTTTCCTGCGCCTATGTTTGCAAGAAGTGTTGCGGGCAAAGTTTTCAACAAAGAGAAGAGCGCCCTTTCGCCTCAGGTTCCAGACCCTCTTCCAGTCAAAGCCCGTGTGGATGCGCCAGGAGTTCTAGCAGAAACAACCATGGACACATCACTAGTCCTATGCAGCTTCCTTTGGGGAATGAACCCGCTTCGCCTTCCTGAGAACCGACATGCTGCAAGCGACTGCATTGGAGACGTGGTCAAGTTGTTTGTCTTGAAAAGGTCATTTCAAATCTGGAATTTGGGTGACCATCAATGGCGCCACGTTGAAATCAACGAGCACGGCTGTGTCCCAAGAGGTGAATTTCTTTGGGGTCAGACCCCCCTGTCTGACGTGTTGAGATCTGAGTGGGAGGCCGATTTGGCTCTTCGCCTTCAACAGTACATTTTGCCAACCTGACTTTTGGTAATGCTAATTTTGGCTTTCTGTTTCGGAGCGGGTGATCAGTCCTTGGCGGTTGCTTGCTTGTCCTTGAGGTTTCTGGGGAGTGTGCCTGGATATCATCTCCATTTTCATCCCCACGCTTTGCCGACCTAGTTTGCTTCATGGCGGCCAGGCCCGGTTTTTGGGGTTTGTTGCGCTTAGAGTTCGCTTGCTTTGCGCAAACCTGGCAGGTTGGACAGCGACCTTCCTCAACATGCAACTTTGCGGATCAGTGGCACCAACTTGCTGCAGCAATTGTGGCAAATCATGGAGTCTTGGAGTGGATTTAGACAAGAAAGTTTACCAAGCCAGCTTGCTTCTTTGTTGGCTCAGGAAAAGAACACTATGACTCTTGGGGCTGACCGTCCCTCCAGACTCCCTACCAAGAAGAAGTGCAGCCCTGCTGAAATCCATGCGCAGCTGCAGAAAGTTCGGTCAGGGGAGGCAAGGGTTCGCAACAAACGCTTGCTTGAATTGAGCCCCCGCTTGGAGGTTGTCATGATATCCTCAGCTTTGCCACGCACGAAAGCCCAGCCGTCAGCTATCGCATTGCGAGAGATGGCGCCTTGGCCGATCTTACAACATGCAAGTGTTTGATCGAGCGTGCTCCATAAGTTTTGACAAAGGTGGCGTACAGCCAGCGCACGTTCGTGGAGTTTCAGAACCAATCTACATTCTGGGCCACTTGCCTCAGACAGCTTCACATGTGACATGCATAAAGCGGGTTTCCAAACCACTTGCTGCCCGGACAACTGAGTTCTATATGGACGGCAGCGCGGTTGCCAAAATACCGACAGAGTTATTTCTGGTGTACAGTGGGAGTCTCAGCTTTGTTTGTCAGCCGCAGCCACCATAGCAAGCGCAAACGCGTGTGAGACTTGACTTGCCAGGTCCTTGGCAACATCTAGCCAGCATGGCACCACCCTTGGCGTGGGGCTCAGACAGCATTGCACTCGGTTGTTTTTGTTCCCTGATCAAGGTCTTCATTGAATCATGATGCAAAGCACGGCTCGAGTGCACTTGCGAGTGTAGCTGGGATGGCCTCATGACAGAACATGCCAAAGCGCTGTCGCAGCACCGTGCCAGAGTGCGGCAGCAATGCCCCAGATCGGATCACAGAGACCGATCTCTCTTCGTGCCACAAGGCAGAAGAATGCGAGGCCGATTGCCGCGCTGTAAACTTCAGTGCTCTGTTTTGTTTAAATGTTGAGTTCTCAACCAACAGGCGCTTTGAACGCTTTGCAGGTGGTCACGGACAGGCTGCAGAAAGCTTCCGGCTGTCTGCAGGCGCGACTGCGTGAAGCCAAGTCAGTCAGGGTGCCCACAGTCGCATGTAGCAAACCCGTTTTATGCTATGGCCAGGTGGCCTGGAAAGTGATTTGCGATAGTGTGGGCATCCATCGCCTACAGGCCAGCTTTGGCATTCACACTCAAAACTCAAAACTCTCATGTTGCAACTCTGCCCGGCTCAGGACTCTTGCTGGAGAACCTTCCGCTCGACATCCTCAATGTGCACTGGTATGTACACTGCCGAGATGGCGCTGGCCACAGCTAGCAATCTGATCAACGAGAGCCAGGTGTTTTCTAACTTCAGAGTGGACCTTCAATGCTTGGCAACCTGGGAACTGGTCTTAGACTGGTTGCTTCACTTGAAGCTTTTGACTAGTTATGCCTGAAGCTGCGTGAGTCATGAAAATCATTGCGCACACATGACTGTTGCCGCCAAGGAAAACAACAGGCAATGCCAACAGATCATTTCCGAGCACCATCGTTGGACATGTGCCGCGACCCACTCAGACCATGACCAGCCGTGCATCTTCGATGACGTGCTGGGCTTGCACCTGCGATGCTGGGGCGAGGAGGATTCCTTTTCGTGCAAGAAGGCAAAAATATTTTCTTCAGCTTCCATCACCAGCCAAGATTGCCAAGCGCATGGGACGGTTTGCCCATTTCCCCATGTAGATTTTGACCACTCAGGGCTCCCTTGCGTTGACAACTCAAGGGCACGCCACCATCGCAAGTTTGAAGAGGGAGGGTCGGGCCCGCTCTTCATTGTTTGGGCTTTGCGACTTCGGCGATATGGAATCAAGTTGGCAGTGCTGGAGAACACTCCAGCACCTTGGCTTAACCTTCAAAACTGACCAAAAAACTGCGCATGCGCCGCTTTAGTTCGTCAAGCAAAAGGGTCCCGGGCCCTTTGAAAAACCGTGCTCACCGAAAAGAGCTTGAGAAGGACCCTTAAGGCTCCTCTTGGTTTTAGCTTGTATCACTGTTGTCAACATGCGTGCTTTGTGCGGTTGCACTAAGGATGTGAACTACGCAATGCTGGTTTCACTGCTGGGAGACCTGTATGACTCTTGGCAGCTCTTCCCCGATCTAGAAGACAGTGGGCACGCTGGAAGCTCACGCAAAAGAACATACATCATTTTTGCACTTCGCGGGTCATACACCATGCTTGCCAACCCCGTAGCGCTGTACGACCAAGTGTCCAATGTCCTCAAATCTCAGTATCGCACTTGCCCCTCTGACTACCTGACTGCCAACAACATGGAGATGTTGCTCGAAGCAGCAGAGGTTTGTAGGGTTCGACGGCTGCCCTTTAGACCCAATTCCAAAGATTGGAGCTACATGCTGACAGAGCGAGAGCGATCAAACATCGCCACCATGGATGCTGAGTATCAAAGGCGGTGGTTGCAGGAGCCAAGTTCCAACCCAGACCTCTGCTATTACCTGGTAGACAACCCTGCTTGGTCTTTCACTTGGTCGGCCAGCTCGAATAAAATCCCAGCACTGCGAAGAAACAATGGGAAAGTCTGGTTTCCCAGCAAAAGAAGATGGATGACCTCTGGAGAAAAGCCGCGTGTCAGCATTTAGTGTGTTGCTTTTTAAGGTGCGCAAGGTTTAGTTCGACCTGTGCGAACCATACCCCCGAACCATACCCCCCTCATGCACCAAGCCAGGCACAACAAGTTCTACTACTACTACTACTACTACTACTACGACTACGACTACGACGACTACTACTACTACTACTGCAACTACTACTACTAGTACTACTAGTACTACTAGTACTACTACTACTACTAGTACTACTACTACTACTACTACTACTACTACTACTAGCACTGCTGCCACTACTACTACTACTACTACTACTACTACTACTACTACTAGTACTAGTACTAGTACTAGTACTAGTACTAGTACTACTGCTACTACTACTACTACGACTACTACTACTACTAGTACTAGTACTACTGCTACTACTACTACTACTACTACGACTACTACTACTACTAGCACTAGTACTACTGCTGCACTACTGCTACTACTACTACTACTACGACTACTACTGCCACTACTGTTACAACTACTGTTACTCCTGCTTTTCTCGTACTACTACTGCTACTAGTACTACCACTACTACCACCACTACTGCTACTACTACTACTACGACCACTACTACTACTACTACTACTACTACTACTACTACTACTACTACTACTACTACTCGTGCCACTGCTACCTGCCTACAACTACTTTTAATTGCTTCTGTTCTATACTACTGCTTACTGCTACTGCTACTGCTACTACTATGCAACAACAACAACAACAACAACAACAACCACGACTACGACTACGACTACGACTACGACGACGACGACGATGACTACTACTACTAGTTCCATTTCTGCCACTACTGCCAGTACTGCCACTACGGCTACAACTACTTTCACAACTGTTTTCTTTTGTACTACTACCACTACTTTCACTACTGCTGTGAGCAGAACTGAACCACACTACTACCACTGCTACTACTACTGCTACTACTGCTACTACTACTACTACTACTACTAGCACTGCTGCTACTACTGCTACTACTGCTACTGCCACTACTGCTACTGCCACTACTGCTACAACTGCTTTTACTACTGCTTTTCTTCTACTACTACTACTACTACTACTACGGCTACTACTACTGCTACTACTACTACTACTACTACTACTACTACTACTACTTCTACTTCTACTTCTACAGCAGCAAAACCTTGCTTCCGAATCATACCCCGATTGTTCCCCCGCCGCACGTCGAACCACACCTTTTGTTTGTGCGCGTGATCCCTATGACCACGCGCACGAAATCGCTAACGGCAGATCGTCAGCGCAGCTAATGTTGCAACAGAAGTTTCAGTTCCTGCGAACCATACCCCCGATTCATATACCTCGAGTCATACCCGCGAACCATACCCCCATCCAAACTTCCCGGGTCGAGCGCCTTATTTTGGCACAGACCCACGATTTTCCATTTGGGCGCCCGCTTCCCTCTCTGTCCAGCCTGACGCGGCCCAGGTTGACAGCCTTGGGGATGCCAGTGCGGCGCTTCATGGCGAAAGAGATGCAGGTCCCGCCAATTCCAATTGTGGACCCCAAACGAGCTTCGTTTTGCGCAGGGAACGCAATGGCATTCACAAGTACTGCCATAGTGCAAATGGTTGCGTTCTCCAGCTTTTGTTTCACCACCGTGTAGGATAGATTTTCAGCAATGTGCCCAAAACACTCGTACGCAACTTGCGTCCTTGATGTGTTGCCGACCAGGCATGACATGTTGGCCGTGGTTGTTGATCCGAGAAGTGTTTGATGTTCAGCCTGCTCAAGTGATCTTTCGACTGCCTGCTCCGACACATACCTGGCGCACCTTGATGCCTTTGCCTGCTGTGACACCAGGGGCTAGCGGCTCAGCACCACGTGCTGAACCTCCTTCCACAGGCATTGACTGGGGAAAGCTGTGCAACCAATCCCCGCAAGACATCATGCAGCAACAAATGGATCAGCACGCGGCCTTGCTTCTGCAACAGCAGCACGCTGTGGGCGCTGCTCCCAAGCGAGGTCGCAACCCTAAGCCCAAAACCAAAGCTGCAAGTCAAGGGGGTCGGCAACGAGATGGTGAGTGGATCTATGCTCCACGCTGGAGTGGTATGCCCGCCAGGGCCCCAGCGTGCTGTAAGTCGGCCACATGTAAAAGTAAGCGACAGGATTGAGCAAATGTCTGTTTGAGGAGTACTTGCTTCGGAAGCTGCTGGCTTTTTCAGGGGCACCTTGCCTGAAATCGTCTGCGCTCTTGCACATCGAACAGTGAACCTGCACTGCTTGCTTCTTACCAGTTCAATCTCAGGGCGACAGCGCCAACGTGCAATTCCTCAACACCCAGCCCAAGGCGCTCACTTTCCTTTACTGGGGTATCATGGAGGAGTCCACCACTGGTGCACCGTGGCAAGCTTAACTTCAAGCCGACATCTTGACATTTAGATGTTGCGCTTTTTCACACACTTGGCCCAAAACACGTGACAAACCAAAGCGAAAAGAACTTGGCTCCCAGACTCCAGGCGAGAGGTGGCGGAGTACCAAACGGCCTTGTTGGCCGAATACGAGCGACGGCTCCGGCCCGGGGACGGCCTCACTGTTGAGCAGGCCAACACGATCGTCAAGCTCATGATCGACGGCCAGAGCAGCTACGAGTTGGTTTTTGACCGCGATGAGGGCAAATGGGTGCTGAACAACACCATTGACGAAAAAGAGCTTGATCTGCCAACCACGGGGAGCTACTGCTTGGCTGTTTGACTGCAAGAATTTGCACCTATCGAAAACCTGAACAAGCCGACCGGTTTGAAACCCGCAATTTTGACAGGCCATCATCCATGTCTCGAGCTTGGGTTTTTTGAAGGAAGCCCCCCTTCAACAATTCTCAAGGGTGCTGAACCCGGAAGACAGCTTCAACAAAGCGGTTTTCCAAACTTGGTCCACTGGTTGGGTCCTCCTCAACAAACAACATAGCCCTGAGATTGAATTTTCCTTGAACCCTGGAAGAGGACACGAAACGGGGCTGTGCTGGGGACTCACTCAAACTGACAAAGTGGCTTGGGAAAAGTATGCCTCAGCTAGCTCCATCCTTTCGATTAAGGGAGGGTTGACCTGCGTTTGCGTTGGAAATTGAACCTTCCAAGATCTGATCTGTTGAGTTGCCGGCTCTGTCAACACCAGGCCTTGGATGAGAAGCACATGCGAGTCTTCATCAAGGACATGAAGCAGAAGCGTCTCAAGAGCAAGGCAACCACGCTCTACTGCGACGACTTGCTTGCCCCCTGTGTCAGGAACGAGTACTCGCGTGACTCCATCATTACCAAGCAGGTGTTCCAGAAAATCCTGCCACAGTCATACATCAACATGAAGATTGGGGGGAGTGAGAAACCTGAGGAGAGCCAAGACGAGGCGGCCGACGACCCTTCTTCGAGCGATGTTGAGCCCCCTCCCGTCAAGAAGAGCAAGTCGCACAAGGACAAAGCCCGGGACACCACCCCGCCATCGAAAAAGAGTCGGGCAACTCCAAGCACCCGTGCCCCCAGCTCAGCGCCAGGCCAGCTTGCTAAAAAAGTATGTTTTCTGTTTCTTTATGGGGCTGGACGCAAAGCTCCTTGAAACAAGTAACCTGCAACATATGACGTAACAGCCCGACCCCTGCAGGTTCTCTGCCAGGCCATCTCTGTGGCTGCGGCCTCCCGAATGCCTCGTGCGGCACCTGCGGCCTTGGGTTTGTGCAAAGGCTGCCCCCGGATGCCCGTCGAAGAATGAAGGCTGCCCTGAGCCCGGAGCCTGTGCCCCGACGGGGCACAACACCACAGGCCCCAAAGCGTGGCAAGGCCAAACATGACTCGAAGCACTTGCTGGACTCCTCATCTGAGGAAACATCCGCTTCGCAGGCAGGGCGACTTGGTAAAGTTGATTGAGGTTAAGGCATGGCTCTCACACCTCTCGTAAACCGCTTGTTCGCCTCGGTTTGTTTCCCAGAAACTCTGCCAAAAGGCACACAAAAACTGAAAGAGTCAAGAGGACTATTGCAACTCACTAGGACCCCGGGAACGCATTGCGTTATGAGTATAACAGTCGTGACCAATTTTCAGGGGACAGGAGTAGCAGAAACCTCACATCGCAGCTGCGTTTGTTTGACTAGTTGATGATTCAGGTTCTTTGCCAAAATTCAGAACGGTCCAAGATCCATCGTTTCGAAAAGAAGTTGCTCAACAAGTTCCAAAGTGCTTGTAGGGACAAACCTGCGCAACATCCAACCCCCCCAAGGCTGACTTCACGCTGAAGTACGACAAGGACATCGAGGCGTTTGTGGCAACTTGTGCGGCTACCAAGAAGTCTCGTGTGCTCAAGACGCCCGATCAAGGAGGGTGCTTGGATTGGGTCCTGATCACTGATGAGCGCGACCCTTTCATGCAGCCTCAGCAATTTAAACACAAATCAGGTATCCCTTATTCAGGTATCCCTTCTTTGGTGGCTTCAATCTAGTGGTTTCGGAGTTGAGCCTTTCGAAACCAATGGAGAAGGCAACCAGGAAATCGGGAAAGTTGGTGAAACTTTTGTTTTGTTCCCACTCCTACCCAAAGTTCAAACTGAGGATCAAAGCAAGACCTATGGCAAGATGTTCGCCGCTTCTGAGTCCAAAGCCTGCAAGCCGGTGAACTTGGAGAAGTTCTTTGAGGATGCCCCGACGCCTGCGAAGCGCAGACTTAAGAGGAACCCGACTGACAGCGACCGCGTGCGACTGTTGGATCCCAGCCCGACAAATGCCGAGGCACTTCTGACCAACAACCAGTGTGTTGTAACTCTGGTTCAACAAGGTTAGGGGGGTCCTTTCCACCAGCTTCTGTGCAAACATGTCCCTTCCTAGAGATTCGCAGGGATAAAGCATGGATAAACGCAACTCCCAACGGTATACAGCTTATTCCAGGCTTATCCTAGGCTTATCCTAGGCTTACCCAAGGCCTATCTATAAGCACTGGATAGGGCCTTAGTAGAGGGTGGACAAGGCTTGGATAAGCCTATCCTGGGCTTACCCATGTCCTACTCAAGTGCTACTCGTAAGGCTGGCTTAACTAAAGGTCAGAACGGATTGCGTGTTTGCCACCCCCATCAAACACACCCCTTGCCAGGCGAGCAACACGGAACGAACCGCGCCATCTCCGACAACAGCGATCAGAAGGAGCAACAAGATGAGAAACCAGAGAAGGAGAGCGGCGAGCACAACCAGCCTCGTGTCATGGTGCCTACCAAGGGTGAGGTCTCCATGCCTGAGTGAGCGAGCTTGAATCAGGGACCCAACTCTTTGAAAAACTGCGCATCGCATGTCAATCGACCTGTTGTGCACTAGCCCGTTGTTGCTTCAAAAAGGCGTGCCATTTTCATCTCTGGCAATTTTGCCAAAAGCACTGGCCGGGATGCCGACAGAACAGCGGCGGCCCGGAAGTTTTTTGGGCTTGTTACCAGTGACCAATGGGTCCCAGATCAGAAATGCCCCATCCCTTCAGTAACTCAATGTTGAACGAAAGGGCTTTAAAGGCTGGTTCCAAACAGGCAGGCACTTTGTTTTCCTGCAGGGTGGGGAGGTTCGATTCGCCACCTGACTTGAGGTTGCGAAGTTGCAAAGGCGGCCGGAAAAAAAAACGTTCATAGAGGGGTCAACTGCTCTGAGTCACATGCTTGAGTGCTTGAGGCTGTCACGCAATGCAAGTTTTTTATCTACCTAACACTGTTCATGCTCCGACCCCGGCGCTGAGGCAGTGAGCAAGCACCTCATCGACGCCAAGGCAGAGGAGACGCTGCCTCAGCACACTGACAAGCAGAAGTCTTGTTGGCTGTTTCTTTGGATTAATTGTTGCTTCCAGGCTGAAGCTAGATGGTTCGGGCATGAACGCCAAGCAAGTTCGGCGAACCATCAAGAACCTGGCTGCAGTACTGGCCTACGGCTGAGTGACGACGTAGGGTCACTGAAGTTGGATACAACAGTCAAGACCAACACGCTCTCTATTCGTTTTTGTCAGGTCATGCTGAAGGCGGTGAACCAGAGCAACTGGAACGTGCTTCACAAGGACCTGTCCATGTATGAGCCGGTTCGCATGCTCCAACTGGGTGAAGACTTGAAACTTGAACCTCCCCTCTCCCAAGACCGACCACTCCTCAAAGCAGCAGTTGCCTTAATCCTTTGAAACATTGCTACGAATGACTTCTTGAATTTCGCTACTTGGCAAACCAATTGAGCCGCTTAGGTTGCAGATGGGGAAACATCAGGTGTGAAGGCCTTCAAGCTGGCCGCCTGCAAGTTAAGAGTCTGGTGGAAGCAAGATGACGCACACCCAAGTTGGAACGATGTACGCGCCTTGTCTGCTTTCCCATCCTGTTGTTTGCTAATTATTTTGCTTGCAAAAAGCTTTGGCAACTCTTGGACTTCTGGCTTTTGTCACGCAAGGAAACTCGTACGTTCGTGCAGGCCTTGGCGTTGTTGTATTAAAGGCAACTGTCCTTGCTAATGCAGGGCACGGGCCGCGCCTTTCAGAGTTTCAGGCATGCGTTGTCTTTGACGTGTCTCGTGTCCTCATTTTGGCGCGGTTCCTTACTGCTCGGCCTTCCCGCTTTATGTCTGCAAATAAGGTACCTAGGTGGATCAAATGCATTGACGCGGGATATTGCCTGCGCCAAGTACATCGAAAAGCACAGACACAACGAGCAGCATTGGATGGAACTGGCTGAGGCCATTGCGCAGGATCGCGGCAGTGATCTTCTCACTGATGATGTGCCCAGCCACCTGGAATCATGGAGCTCAGAAGAGTCAATGACTCACCGAGGAGAATATGTCTCATATCTGAAAACTCAGTACTTCCATTATGCAGTGGTTCAGCTTTGCTGGCTAATCAACTGAGAAAAAGTTTTGCTTTGGCCACAACTGGGCGTGTTACATGGCTCAGTTTCTTGCGAGATGTTGAGGTGAAAAACAAGAGCTGGTTTGGCTTCACTCGTCGATGCAGAAGCTTAGTGAGAGATTGGACGGTGTGCTCCGAGATCTACCACTTTGCAGTCCATGATCTAGACAATGACAAGGAACGGCTGTTCAGAGTGTCCTCCCTCCAGCATCCTTACAGCCAATTTTTGCGTACGAAGCAAACGCTTAAACAAGCTTGGCAGGAGCCCGCTGAAGAGGCTGAGGCGGAAGAACAAGAGGAAGCTGAGAACGGGGAGGAGGAGGAGCACCCTGAAACAAAGCAGCAGTGGAACGAGTTTCGGAAAAAACACAAGAACCTGCATTTGGTGGACTTGCTATACAGTGACAGGCTCGGCCAACTTCAACAGTGACGCATGAGCAGTTGCAATGGGGCAACGGTTCTGAAGACACACCAGTTTCCCGCAAGCTCTGCGCAGGCACCTGCAGTCTCTCATCCGTCTCTGCGGGGTCTGCTCCGAGCCTGCAGGCCCCTTGGCAAACATGAGTTGTCTTCCCCCTTACCTTGTCAAGGTGAACTGTTGCAAACATTGTTTGGTCTGTCTGGTTTCAATTGAGGAAAGCTGCTTGCGATGGGCTGCCGGGCTTGCATCAGGCTCGTGGCTTACGACCGTTTTGCAAACTCTTCACCTGTTGCACTCTGCGAAGTTTGCTTCGGACCTGAACATGACGGGGTGGTTGCCGGTCAAGCCGCAACTAGATGAGCCCTGGGTACAAGAAGAAGTCCAGATCTGGGAAACTGCATGGAAACTCCTGGTAGAGATCGCTGCTGCCAGGACCTATGCAACCCAGTCTGGTGACCCTTGTTTCCTGTGGTTTCCCAAACAAACGAACGCTAAAGCGGCCTCTTTGAATGCACCCTTGGAGGAGTTGGTCACAGGCAACCTACAGCCTCTGTGTTCCTCATGTCTCAGCTGGAGTATTTGCCAAGAGTGTTCGGGCCCGAGAATTTTGTATGGTGCTCCAAAAAAAGCTGTGGGAGAGACTTCACGCTGCCGCCCAGTTTGTCAAAAACAATGACGATGAAATATCAGCAGCACTTACGGCGCTGCTTGATGACTGTTGGTGGCAGAAAACCCAAATCGCGCTAGAGACCTTGGCTGTGGGCCAACAGGCGGAGTGGCGGCACAACAACGTTGAAGTCCGGCGGGAGGCTTTCCGGCTCCACGCAGGGCCGGGAAACACGAAGTTTAGTTGCGAGGATGCCTTTGCTCACCTTCACCATGTGGTGCAAAAGGCGAACAAAGGGGTCCACAAACTCAACAAGTTCAGGGCTAAGGTGATCTTTGCACTCAGCGCGACTATGACTGTCGAACAAACGAAGTAAAGAAGACAAATCTTCCACCCACGCCCCATCATCCGCGCTGAGGTGGGCGCGATGGTTCTACGCCAGCGCCAGCAAGTCCTTGGCAGGCCCAGTGAACATGGTTGAAACTTCCGTGGATGACTACTATGTCACGCGCCAGTCAGCGAAGATGAACACGGCCCGCAGTAGCCGGCATGGGCAATACTTTAGCCCTCGGGTGGAACTGCCGAAGTCCCTGCAACTGAGTAGCTTGGTTGCTGTACCTTGGCAAGACGAAGTAAAGCGTTCCAGAAGCTTCACCTAATCTTTTGCGCGTGCGCAACCAGCTTTTGATAACATCCCAAAGACAAGGTTAAGAAGCAATGGGGCACAGCTGGCACCGAAGCGGACATGCGAAGCATCGCCGCCACGGCGACCCTGCTACGGGTTGACTTTCCATCCTTACCCCACTTGTGGGCAGGACCAACGGGCTTCGAACACAGCCAACAAGAATTGGTAGCCTTGTGACACACACAGGGTTCCCCTTGTTAAACCTAGTAGTACCAGCATGGGGCTTGCAGTTGCACCCATTGTTTGTTGGCGCGCTTGTGCGTTTTTTTGCTGATGTCTCTCTCGTAGCTTGCTTGCTTGTTTGCGTCTGT